CCTCCACAATTTAAGTATATTCTGGACATCGGTCACTAGATCGCCATTGTTGTTCTTACAGGAGTTCGCCCTGGTCTTGAAACCTTCTGTAAGTTACCTAACCCTCTGGAAGAATTTTCGGGCAGACTTCCTATCGGCCAGCATCTCAAGCTCTTCGCACTCACGTATTTCGGCCTCTCTCTTCTTATTGCGGCAAATACGTCTCGCTTCCTTCTTCAGTTCCCTATAACGGTCCCACATGGCTCGCGTTGCGCCCGATCGCAGCGTGGCCTTGTAGGCGGCATCTTTTTTCTCTGCGGCTTCTTGACATTCCTCATCGTACCAGTGGTTCTTTCTGGCTCGCTGAAATCCAACTACTTCTTCGGCGGTTGTACTTTATGATCGGGAAATGTGGTTCCACTGCTCGCGTATGTCGGATTGTTGAAGAGTGCTCTCAGAGAGCAGGTGTGTGAGTCGAGTGGCGAATAAATTGGCCGTCTGTTGTGAGTGAAGCTTTTCGACGTTAAGCTTTCCTTGCATTGTTGGGCGCACATGTTTTGCTGCACAGAGAGTTGGTATGATTGCCGTACCGAAATAAACATAGAAAAAGGTGTTTTCTTAACAGTGGTCGCCCCTTGGCAGGCAATGGCGAACGTCCGAGGGTATTTTTGCCATGAAAAATCTTCTCATAAAATTAGGGTTGCCAGATTTTTCATGCGCGAAATCAGTACATTAGAATTTGTCATGCTAAAAAAATCATAACTTTTCAGTACATTTTTATTCAAAGCAAAATTATGAATGTGTGTGAATGAAAAAAGAAGGTGGTTTCATTGTCACTTTTCGGGCGCCATATTAACTACCTCACAATTAAGCAGACTGTGACATTTCGTGCTGCCATCCCTAATCCTCAATAATCATTTATTTACTGTAAAAAAAAATATATTTAGAAAATTAAAAGGAAATTTGTCTTCGATCTGAGCAATAACGAAAATTTAAATTCACACATCGCCGTATTTGAAAAACAACCAACTGACTTTTTCTTTGAAATAAAAGACCGGTAAATATGTTGTCCACCGCAGGAATTAGCTATTATTAAATTAGTTTATTCTAAAGCCAATCACCGAAAGGGTTTTGATGTGCTTTGCAAAGGTAAGGCTTCCGGTGCTTCATGCTATGATAGATATTATAGTTATGGACGATAGGTTACTGCCGGTTGAACTGGCACCCAGAGTTTGGAAGTAAGTAGTTAGAGGGCTGCCCAATGCCGTTTGGCCGTCACTGCAAATACCTCAGCCTGGAAAACCGAAGCATATTTCCCCAGAGAAAAGTCCAAAAGAGAGTCAGTTTTGGAGCCATCGTTGAAGATTCGATTACGTGGGATTCCGGGCTCAGTGCTGGTATTAAACCTGCATTCAGCCGCAGGGAACTAAACATTATAGAATCTCTTCAACAAAGGTAAAGGTGGCGTACTATCCTGTGGCATTGAAAAGACACAAGTGCTCAGAAATCTGCCGCTAGCAATTTCCGCCTTGCCCCACTCAGTGTTATATCAGCATCCGTTTCTTTTTAGTCTGCAGGTGGCCTTTAAAGCTTTCCCACGTATGAGCACACAAAGTGACGGTAAGTGCAGCAGTGCATTAAGAGCAGCGCCACGTATTGTAGAGAAAGCATCAGGGCAGCACACGGCAGTAGTTATTTGAAGTTTAGCAAGCAGACTTCCCACGCTCTTGATTGAGGATCTGCGCCACTATACCACTGACGAATAGATAATTATGGGTCTGATCATAGAGGTATAAATCCAGAGGATGCCCTATGGTGGCACACCCCACGTTTTGCCAAAGACCTGCTTACAAGACCTGCGTAAAAATGCTGCCAATTCTTTAGAGGTTTTGTGTTCCACGTTAAATATACACGACAGTTTTGTATCCTGAATTACTTCTCGATACTTCACTTCGGGAGAATTCTGAATTGTGACTCCTTTAATTGTGAGGCAATGAGCGCATACAACCTTCTCCGAAGCCTGTTTCGGACTATGCTTTAATGTAAGCTGACCAACCGCCCTCCTTTGAGGAGGATTGTCCTCCTCAAACGTGATTCGTCCTCCTCAAAAATTTTGTCTTTCTCTGTCCTCCTTTTGACCAAAAATGTCCTCCTTCTCCTCCTTTTCAAGTTTTATAGCAGTGATGAAATTTAAAAAAAATTTCGTTCAGAATATTATTATTTCCTAATCGTACACAATCATTGTATTTAAAAGGCGTTTACATTGTTCACCTTTGAGTTAAATGATATAAACTTTTTTTCAACTAATCGCCTGTAAAAGTTGAACAGTGTAAACGCCTTTTAGCTGCAATCGATAAAATTTTACCTTTTACAACACTGAATTACTAGCTAACGACGTGTCTCCACAGGCGAAAATTATTGCTTACCATATGTCATTTTGTTTGCCAGATATGCATAAGTTTTATCAGCGGCAATATTTGTGTAAGGGGATTTTTTATCTTGATAAAAGATTTTGTAAGATGGCTTAAAATAAGTATGTTCGTTTCACTGGAGAGCAAATCGGCTTAAAAAATTTTAGAAAATGTGTTATTTCACATCCAAGTACATAATCAAAAATAACACAGGCCTGTGTGGTTTTCCCCTTAAAAAACTAATTAGCGATTTGAGTACGTAAAAAAAATAAGAAAAAATTTCATCACGAAAATTTTCCGAGAATTTTTTGCTAGCGTTAACTTCGTAAACTCTCTATGAGTATTATTATTGATACTAATGGTTTTAAGTAAAAATTCTATTCTACATTAATTAATTTTTGGCTTTTCATGCAAGTTGCTAAAAGTTCTAACATGTAAGAAAAGAACCAAAGATGTATTTTAAATTAACATACCTAGATATTGAAAAAAATAATTATTGGAAAGCGGAAAAATTTGATTTGTGTAATCCAACAGAAATTAGCTAAATATTTCTACCATTCTAAAAAATCAAATGCCGCTAAGTTTTCGCGCAAATAAAGATCTGGTTGTCAAATTAACTGACAGTTCATGGCTGGCAATATTTATAAAGATAACAGTTCTGATAATTATTGCTTTCCATGACCAATATGCTGTCTCCATTAACAATACATATATTAGCTCTGATCCAGTACTTCATGAACTTACAGGATCTTACACCAACTTGAACGAAGTTGCAGGAAAAATGTTCCCGTACTCCAAAATCCTTTAAAATCCTGTAAATGAGAGCGACTTTTGGAGAGTTGTGTAGAGAATGAAGTTGCAAGATTTTACCCGAACTATTCCTTCTGGTAAAATTATGAAAAGTGTCAAGCAATTACTGGTTGACGATTTTACAGGAAAAAAGGTTTTTTTGTTCCCGTACTTTTTGTTGGTACTCACTTTTTACTCTCACTTCAGAGAGTAATTTTGCTGTTTGACAGTTTTACAGGGTTTTTCACGAAAACTATTGGATCAGAGCTATTGTCTTATAACATGATCGAGATAAAGCGGTTGCCTGTGGAGATGCATAACCAGGGTCGCCATTTTTCTTTGCCAATTAGTAAAGACATTACTACACTGCGTTGCATAATTATAAGACCGCCACATATTAACAAATTTTTATTTTTTATTTATATACCATTTAATATTGATTATTTTCTTATAAATATATAGTTCATAATATATCAAACACCATACAAACTTTTGTGCAAATATTATTAAAATTCGGCAAATTTTCACCATCATTTTACACCTTTTTTAAAAATTTTTGGAAAAGTTTTGCGTATGCAGTTTTATAGCCCATGCAGTTTTAATTTTTTTTGCCCATTAGTAATGACATTACTACACTGCGTTGCATAATTATAAGAGCGCTACATAGTAACTAATTTTGACTTTTTATTTTTATATTAGGGGTCTTCATCAAAAGTGATAAACTGTTGATAAAATGATAAATTTATCAGTTTGATAAATGAACTGTCAAACTTAGTATGGAAATCTGTTTAACTAAAATGTATCACTTTATCAAACGACTTTGGAAAGAATGCGGATAAACTGATAAATTTAGTAGTTTATCAATTTATCACTTTAGATGAAGACTCCCATTATTTAATTTCAATTATTTTCTTATAAAAATACTGCTCATTTCATAAAAAACACCATAAAAATTCACATTCCAAACCTTGTGCAAAATTATAAAAATTCAGCGAATTTTTACCAAAATTTTTCACTTTTTTTAAGAATTATGGTTTTGGGTATGCAGGTATGGGGTAGCCCATGCAACTTTAGTACAATAAAGTGCGAGTTTAATATGGCTACAAAATAACGTTTATTTTTGGCATTTTTCATTTACGGCGCCACTCATTCTCTTCTATACAAAGTACGTTCGAAATTTGTTTATATGGAAGAAAATGAGCAACACTGTCAACAAAAAACAATTGCCAAAAATCAACGGCAATATGTACGCAGTGCATGGAATTATTTTTCCTTTTTTTAACCATGTTAACTTATACTTTATTTATGTGTTAAAATAAATATAAAACAAATTTTCAATGTGGAGTATTTGCCCTCCTAGAATGCTAAAAAATTCTGGTCACCTTATTTAATGACGAAATATCTACCAATACATCTTCTTCGGACTATTTAAAAAAAGAATTTGTTATTTAAATTTACTTATTTTGTTTAAAATAAAATGAAAAAGCTTTTTAATAAATAAATGTTTCAAAACTGGATTTTATTTTATTACTTCATCTCTGCACATCGATATTATTCAAAGGAGCTTTAAAACGCTCGAGAAGTATGATAGCGACTTTTGGAAGAAGACTTAACATTTGATGCTATTTTTTCAGAATATAAAAAGATTTTGCACTCTGTTGTTACCGGACATGAAACTACTTTAAATACTGGTACGTAATCCATCAAAAACTAAAAATCGAACAAATTTTACATAGCGCCCTTTTCAAGTCGTCGTTTAAAGTACAAAACCGCGTATCAACACAATGCAAAACCGCGTATCATGATAATGCAAAACCGCGTTTGTGAGGTTGCATAAATCACCACCAACAATTTTTTAATTGTGTGAAATTTCATAATAAAACTTTTATGTTAGCTTGCGAATTCCTTATATATAGCTTTAGCCGTTTAAAGTTTCTGAAATACAACAGTACGACAGTATACAACTGTTTGAAGTCGGTGCCCATGCTGGCTAATTTAGATTGTAACGCATACACCATGATGTAAGTCAATTCTTGAATCTCTTGCGGTCGATCATCAAAAAGACTCTTCTTTTTGGCCACTGCAAAAGAAAAGGTATTTAATTAATTAATATTAATATTAATATTACTTATATTTATAATTAAGAACACCTTTTCATTTTATACTCACGCATTGTAAACTTTTCCAACTTGGCATATGCACTTGCTATGTTTTTCCAATATATTTTGTGACCAGCATAAATTCCTGCACCATAGACTGTAAGAAATGCGTAAACATAATAATGTAAACATCTTCAAATGCACTTCTACTTCTAACTTAGTTGTAAGTCTCTAATCTGTTCCTCGTACATAAATTGCGTCTACGTCAAGGTCTCTATACGATTGCCGCCTTGGTTTACATTGGCCTTATCCGACAACTGGCGTATGATAAGCTGCGCCAATTCCAACTCATTTGACTTTTCTTTGAACTGATGTTCAACATCGGAAGCACGTTCCTGCATTACATCTAACAGCCTTTTCATTTCATCCAGATGAGCCGCTTGATGTGGCCAACACCCAAAAGGTTTGTTTACAAAGTGCATTTTTGAGTAGTTGAACAAATGCCACTGGGCAGCCAACGGGTCAGTTGCTGGCAACAATTTGCAGGCTTGGGCCAGCGTTTGTTGCGGCTGCCGGAAAAGTAGCTAAATAATCAAAGTAATTATATGTATAGCGGAGTAGGAGGTTTTCCTTTATTTTAAAAGCTTGGTTACTGATTTCACTAATTGACGACGATGCAACGATCACCGTGGAATCGTTCTGCAAATTGTTACCAGCAACTGACCCGCTGGCTGCCCGCTGGTATTTGTTCAATTACTGAAAAAATGCAAATCATTATAGTGATTGCAGTGATTTAACACTTTCAGCGATTTGCATTGCATTTAATAAGTACACATTCTTTACTTTTAAACAACCAATTTACCATTTAAAACTAAATAATTCCGTAAATCCGCGATTTATTATGCACTTTGTAAACAAACCTTTCAATTTCGCCCCAGCTGTTCGATTCTTCTTCTTTTTCTTATTGAATTCGTCTTTGCTCTCTCATTCTGGTATTTATTGACGTCACGGCCAGTTGCTCTCAGCTCGATTGGCGCAATCTTGTATTCTATCATTCTTGGACTCGGCTGCTATTTCTCTTAATGGCCCAACTAACAGTGCATCTGATAATGCATGGTAACCTCCCCGTCTAATGCTGCTCATCCAAGTAATTCTGCTGCGGCTAATATTTTTGGTTCCTCTCAAAGTTACGCTGATGTTGCTGCCCGCCTACCTATGGCCGATACTTGATCTATTAATGCTATTAATTCTCACCCAACCGCACAGTGGGAAGATGCCACTAAAAACAGGACTAAAAACGAAAAGTGTTCGTAATGTTGTCATTGGTCTGAATAATAATTCCGGTCTTGACGTAATAGCTACGAAAAAATGGATTCACCTATCTTCTTTTAAGCATACGGTAACCGAGAACGATATCAGGCGATGATCTACTTTGCTTTATGCTAGTTAAAAAAGGAGTCGAGGTGACCATTTTAAAGAAAATAAATTTCAAGCTTGGAGTAGCCGCTTCTCTCTAGACGTGCTATTGAATCCCGTACTTTGGCCAACAAATGTCAAGGTACGTCCTTTTCAATTTTTTCAGAAGGAAGGAAAAATAGACATAATAAAATAAACGCCCGTCAATCTGACAATGCTTCCTCGATGGTGGAGTCTAAATCTCTTTCTGCGCTGAAGATCTACTATAAAAATGTATCTGGTATGAGAACGAAACTGATCTCAGCTACATTGTTCTTGTCTCTCTATGAATATGACATAATAATTCTCACTTAAACGTGGTTAAATGTTGACATATTTGATGCTGAAATTTGTGACTTAAAGCTGTATAATATTTATAGAAAAGACAGGGACTCGGTCAAAACAAGTGCATAAGAGGAGGAGGTGTTCTTATTGCTGTTAAACGGAACCTGCGCTCAGAATCATTTGATATTTTAAATGCCGATACTATACTTGACCAGTTACGTGTAACTATACGTGGCGATACTAATCTACTGTATATATGTGCGTCCTATATTCCGCCACTTATTTCTGATGACTTATATCCTGCGCATATGTACAATATAACTAATATTTCAGTTGCAGTCGGTTCAGACAGTAAGAGTCATCTATGCGTTCTTGGCGATTTCAATCTAAATAAAGTCACCTATCTATGGTACCTAATAATAGTTCTCTTATGGCCTGGAATGTCAATAAATCACACGAAATTTACCTAATTGATAGTCTTCTCGGTGCGGACTTAGTACAAATTAATTCCTATTTAAAAAAGTTATCTAGAATGCAAGATCTAATCTTTGTCAGTAGTAATTTTGATTTCCACCTGAAAGAATGTGATTTCCCAATTTCTGAGCCGGATATGCATCATGTACCGCTAGTCCTACAAATAAACTTTTATAATTTTCATACCTGTTCCACATCTAGTTGTGGCCCAGATTTTAATTACAATTTATGTGACCCGGAACTTCTAAACAACGCATTAAATGCTATTAATTGGGAGGAACTACTTAGTTAGGTCGAAGTCTCTGATTGCTATCGTATCTTCCTAACTAATGTAAAGAAAATCTTCACTGAGCTCATTCCGACTCGTCCAAAAAAAGTTTATAAATTGCCGTGGTATACTAAGCGTTGAAGAAATTAAAAAATCTTAGAAATAAGTTCTATAAAGTTTATATAACCACTAGTAAAGTATTTGCTCCATTTGAACGAGTTTAACTGTCTCAATAAATTTTTATATAATAAATACATCATGCAATAACATAACATAATGAATATATCATGCAATAACGTAACATAAAGAGCAACCCAAAAACGTTTTGGAGCTTCATAAAATCAAAAAAATCTGTTTCAGATATTCCTGCGACAATGTTTCTCAATGATCAAACGGGTATTCGCCGATTTTTTGTCTCTAATTTTGATAACGATGTATACGTGTTGGATGATACAACGTACGGTGAAATTGATTCATGCATAGATTTCGGTGCATTAAGAATAACAGTGGATGACGTTGTTTCCAGTATTAGAGCACTCAAAATATCTACAAAGCTGGATAATGATGGTTTATCTAGTTTCCTAGTTAAAATATGTGAATTAGAGATGGGCACGTCAATTTTAAATCAGTACCGTGGGTCCCGCGGGGCCTCCTATCACGCGCCCATCTCTAGTGTGAATGTTCCTTATCCGCACCTATTACTTTAATCTTTAATAAATCCCTATCTACGGGTGTATTTCCTGATCAATTCAAAATTTCATTTATTACTCCTATACGTAAGAGCGGGAACAAAAATAACATTTTAAATTATAGACCAATCTCTAAACTTACTACAGTATCAAAGCTTTTTGAATTATCAATCAAGGATAAATTTTATTTTGCAGTTAAAAATGTAATTAGTCCTTATCAACATGGATTCGTTAGTGGTCGGTCTACTGTTACCAACCTAACCGTCCTCTCACAATACTGTATAAAATCGGTCGAGCTTGGTTGTCAAGTGGATACCCATATACACAGACTTTTCCAAGGCATTTGACAAAGTATCACACAGTATCTTAATCGCAAAACTCTCCAAAATGGGATTTCACTCAAAATTTCTTAATTGGCTTAAATCCTATCTTAGTAACCGATACTCAGTAGTAGTTGTAGATAATGCTAGATCATATCGATTCGTTTCATCGTCAGGTGTGCCACAAGGTAGTGTTCTTGGGCCATTATTGGTTCTTTTGTTTATTAACGACATTTCTCGATGATTTAAAATTATATCTAAGAGTACGTTGTGCTAATTATGCTTCGTTTACAGGAAGATCTCGATAACCTTTATAGTTGGTGCAACAAAAACCGTTTATTCCTTAATTTAATAAATTCTCTAAAATCAACTTTTCGAAACTTCGTTCCAATTTTTTTGTCGTACTATCTTGGAAACTGCATTTTATCCAGCATTGATGAAATCCTGGATTTGGGTGTTGTTTTTGATTCCCGTTTCACATTCATCGGTCACTTAAATTCAAGGAATGAAACCGAAACCCAAACCGAAACCGTAACCGTTTAAAACCGTTTCGTTTTTCAAAACAGAAACCGAAACCGTAACCGTTTCTTGACCTGAAAAGGAACGATACCGAAACCATTTCAATCACAGGTTTCAATCGGTTTCCAGAAATTTACAAAAATAATAAATAAAAATTTCTTTGAAATAAATGATTTATTTAACCAAAATCAGCAACATTTTGCTAAAATTCTTGTTAAGTAGTAAATAAGTATGGCAAGGTAACTTTTCGCAAAAATCTGCTGATAACTTTGCTGTTGTGAATCGATAATCGATTAATTATATTTAAGTAGTTTCTTTCCCGTACGCAATGCGAGATCCCGCGTGTGCCCAAAATAGCCCAGAAATCATGCCTCAACAAAATGGGTAATAGAGAGCGAAAATTCGAGCGTATTCGAAATTTTCTCCGAGTAAAAATGGATAAAGTGTCAAGGCAAGAATGATAGAATACAAGATTGCGCCGATTGCAGCAGAATTCGTGAGAGTAATTTTAGCGTGACGTCATCGTAGAGTTGACAACTGAGAGCGGCGAGAATGAGGGCGACTAGTGATGTGCTGAATTGTCCCCAATACTCGGTACCCAATACTTAAAAAAGATTTCGGTACCCTATACTTCCTTTTCGGTATCCGATACCGATTATTTACATTAAACCCTCGCCATTATATGCATTTCAGGTTTAGAAAAAACATCCATTACTAATTTGTATGATATCGGCTAAAACACTTGAACTTATCGCCACTGAAAAATATTATTTTATCAGTTTTAACCTTAGTCGATCCAAGGTTCAAGAAAAATACTTTGACGGATGAAGAAGCCTTTCAGGGGAGAGATTCTGTAGCCAGTTAGCGACAAGTTTCGGATCGATATCGCACTTGTTGACTTACAAATATTTGATATCAAACGTCGACAAAACCGATACCGATTCGAAAATTGTCGTTAACTGGTTACAGAATCTGTCCCAGGCCTACAAAAATGATATCGTCCGATTCAGCTGGAACAAAAATGCTTCAAACAAGTAAGGGTTTCTCTGTATTATGGCATCGAACCGACATATATACATCTTTCATTTGAATCAGTAAAAAAGCTCTATTGGCTGTTACATTCGGGTTTTGTTAGGCGTTTTTTCCATATTTTTGGCATATGTGCGCTTTTATTCGAAACCTAAATGTTTCGGTACCGAGTATCGAGAGTATTGGGTACTTAAAAGTATTGACTCAGCACATCACTACTGCTGTCTTCTCTACCATGACGTCACCAAAACAGCTGATTCTGTCAAAATCACTGAGAGCCGAGTAGCGGTATCGTCATCGGCGCCACCTCTGTATTCTCTCCACCGTGGTGTCAAAGTGCATATCAGCTGTATTGTGTTTACATGTTGCCTGCATTTACTTGGTGCTTTTAAGGAAAAGTGAATGGCCTGTTGATGTATTTTCAATCTATGTACTTAAAATCAAATTTGTGAAACCAAAATTTAATTTCCAAGTGTTTGCATTTAATACCATGTTCTGACAGACAACCAAAACATTTTTCCTTCATTTTCTTTTCATTTACAACCTTTAACTTTCATTCTTATTTTGCTTTGGCCAGGCAATTAACAATAAATCCGAAATGGCGTATTAAAGATGATAAAATATGACTTCCACTTCGATAAATAATCGAAAAAAACTAGTGAAGACACCGATTGGAATGAGTGGAAAGTGAGATACTTCGCCGACCTAAACGGGGTTAGATCGCCGAAACAACAGCCCTTGGTCGGGTGAAACCCGAGTCATTCCGGTACGTAGAACCGGCTGTCGTCGGAATGTGCTTAGGACAGCGACGGGATGCCTCCTGATGTCGCCAAAACACCACTTGCACGGCGAGGCGCAAATGCTCCCAGTTAAGGAGCACAACATAATGCTCTGCAAGCAGTTCCTGATCGGGAGCCACAGAAGTGGCCACCCAAACAGACAGCTGCTTGCGGAGGAGCCCTCGCCTAGGCACGTCAGGAGGCATCTATATGAACTCACGGACGAAGTCCAGAGGTTCATTAAGCAACCTCTGGACCCGACAGCGTACAGACAGGCCCTGAACGGCATTCACAGGGACTCAGTCTCGAGTTATGTAGACTCTAGACCTGTGAATGCCGTTCTAGGCATACCACCCCCGGACATTGACGAGACAGAGCTTCATCTGCCTCGGGAGACACGCACTACACTCGCTCAACTTCGCTTCGGCTACTGCAGTAGGTTAAACTCCTACTTGAGTAGGCTGAATGAGGATGTGCCGAACGAATGTCCGGCATGCGGAGAGACCCCACATGACTCGAACCATCTCTTCGCATGCCCGGAAAACCCGACAACCCTAACGGCCTTGTCCCTGTGGACAGATCCCACAGAAGCTGCACGCTTCCTAGGGTTGCCGTTAGTGGAACTTGACGACAACGACTGAGATACCAACCGATCTGGGCGGGGTTGTTGTAGCCGCTACAACAACAACAACAACAACAGTGGAAAGTGAGTTTTCAAGTAGTTTTCAGCGAAAACTGGTTTTCGTTTAACAGATTTTATATGGACGAAAACACAAGTTTTAGGTCGAAAACCAGTTTTAGCAACGAAAACATATTTCCGATGTCGGTCAGAACATGGTATAAGTGACAAAAACAAGAACAACGTGAATCAGCTGTTTCTCGACTTGTGGGCACGAAATGTGGGTTTTTGCGCTTCCGTACTTCTGAACTTTGTTCCATTTTTGAAAGAAAATGTTTCCCTTATTCTCTAATTACCAAATCCGGTCCGGATTGTTAGGGAAAGAACCTAGTGTTGATATTATCAGTGAACTGTAATTTTCGATTTTCTTTCCTCAACGTTTAAGACATTGTGATTTAAATAATATCAACAAAATTTCTGTGAAAAAGCGAAACCGGAACGAAACCGAAACTAAAACCGAAATAAATTTTGAAGAACGAAACCAAAACCGAAACCGAAACACTTGGCAAAACCGAAACCCAAATCGGAACGTTATTTTGAATCGGTTTCATTCCTTGCTTAAATTACATAATACCGAAAGCTTATTCACTTTTAGCTTTTATTCGGCGTAATAGCAGGGAATTTACTGATCCTTATACTCTGAAACTTCTTTACGTTACGTTTGTTCGCTCAAGGCTTGAATACGCCTCCTTTATTTGGAGTCCTTTTTATGCATCTAACATTGCACGCCTAGAGCGCATTCAAAAGAAGTTTGTACGCCTTACATTCTTTACAATTTTCTCTCCCATGCCCTCTTACAATGCACGTTGTTCGTTAATTGATTTAAATTCCCTTGAACACAGACGAAGGGTGAACTCTTTTATTTTTATTGCAGATATCATTAGTGGCAGAATTAATTGCTCTCGGTTGTTAGATCATATTACTTTTAATGTTCCTCTTAAATACCTAAGACATAATAATTTGTTTTACATAAATTTGCATCGAACTAATTATGCTTTAAATAAGCCTAAAACTAGGTCGCTTCTAGAATTCAATAAATTGTTAACAAAATATAATTTTTATACCCGAGCGCACTTGTGCATAATTTTGTTCACATAACGGTTGTTTGTAAC